TTTTACAAACTCAGTCCACCAACATCTTGAGCATAAAATTCCACATGCCGACCAGGCAGCGCTGTAGGTGATGAATCCGTTTCGCATGCTGATGGTCTTAGGTTCGAGTCCCTGCTAGGGTAGGTTGTGGTGATGTTTGCCTTAGTAAAATAGGTGCTTGAAACTCTCAAATGTGGTTCGGATTCCACTATAAACTGTACGTCAACTAGTAACTGAGCTGTTGTTAAGCAACAAGGGGCCATTAAATTTGAAAAGAAAAAGAAAAATCCACATATGCTGTTTTAACGGAGTCGTCCATCTACTATGTCCGGGCCGGCTATAAACATTATAAGTACGCAATTTAGCTTTAAAGGGAGTGTGACCCTAAATAACGACTTAAGCTACTTAAATCAAGAAAAAAATTCTAACATCTCTCGTGAAAACCGCAGTCCTATATTCAATATAGTCTCCGAGAAAATTCCTCGTGAAGATAAATTATGCAGGAACTTGTGATGTCACAGCCGCAAAAATCGCAGAATTCTGTTCGTTCAGTCGTCAGTGAACCGTACCCTATACTTTGAGTGGTTGCAATTTGCTCTAGGAGATAATTGTCTTTTCTTTTGGAAAATTCTTACACCTAATACTGTCCCTGATAATCCAGTGTGACGTCACAAACACCTAGTGGTACCCAGTGGCGTAACTACAGGGGGGCTTGGGGGGGGCCAGGCCCCCCAGACCTCGCTAGGCCCCCCCCAGAAAAAACTTTAATATTTGGTATTTTTTGAAAGCTACGTTACTTTTACCCTTTACCTATTATGATTTTATGTTATTACCTTCTAAATTTGAACGGTAATGCGCGGCGATCCCGATCGACCCTATCTGATCCTCCGATCCACCAACGAACGTTGCTGTGTGCCACCCCAAGGTCAGTGCAAATTGCAATGTGCAGAAGCAGGGCCGTAGCCAGGGGGGGGCATTCAGGGGAAATGCCCTATCTTTCAAATGATCATTCCCTACCTTTAAAACACAACATGCATCAAGGTTTCTCTGGGATATTTAGGAGTAGATAATGAATAGGCCTGAAATCGATTAAGTGCGAGGATTAGGCTTTCCGAAAACTTCTAAATGTATGCAACAATGTTTGACCTGAAGTTTTTCGTTTCGAAAGAGTGCGAATACAAGGATAATACACACTACTACCGTTGATTACAGAAGATTGCTTATCGACCTCGTTTGTGGAAATCCCGGCCATATGGGTGTAGCAACATTGACGATATCAGCTTTGTTCCAACACGTTAAGAAACCGTACAATGTATCATCACGAATCTGAGCAAAGCCAAAAATTTGTGTGTATAGAGCTCAAAACTCTTATACAGAGTGGTTTCGGAACCGTTCATGGACTCCGTCAGTTGTTTGCGCCAGCGGTCGTATTTTGGAATATACCATCATCCACACCAAAAGTAACGCTGGGAGAGCAACATATTAGCTTTTGTATTATTATATATGACTTTAGTGTCAAATATTTGTCCAACTATGAAGAAAATGAATGATGGTAGAAATGGCCAAGGAGATTATTATGGATTATTTTTGTCCCACATACTTTTGGTGACGATGGTACATTTATGATGAAAAATTTAAATTAATTTCGATTAACATAATAGACAGCAAGAACCGTATAAAAGAAATAATAGATAAAGAGCTGCAAACGAGATCTAGCGTTGCTTTAAAATGTTAATTAATGTACTAAAACCAAGTATGCATAACGCAAAAGCCCGCGGAATCATAACCTATGCGAACCCCCTACGTCGTGAAGGCAAAAAACGACACGCTATCTACGTCATCACTGGTTCTTTAGCGTGGCGGGGGGCTTGAGATTTGATCTAACAGGCCTTATGAGGATAAGCTATCCTGTAGTAGTACTTGGTGTGTATTATCCTTGGTGCGAATGGTTCAAGGCACTGCCTCCTATACTTAACAAGCCATGAAGTTGGAAATGACGGCAACGTCGCGTATGGTGCTATTTTGTTATTGGGTTATGTGTTTCTGTGTATTGCTTTCATTGTGTATTGTTGCAGTTTAGTATTTTTGTGGGCATTATTGACGAAAAAGTGGATAGAAACAGACCAATATATTGCCCATATTTAGTTGATACCTGTTCCTTTGTGCTTTGATTGCAATTTTTTAGCAAATGGGTACAGGAGCAAAAATGAAGGTAAGGTCAGATAAAACAATAAAAACAATATTAAATATTTGTCTGCAAGAGCATATATGTCTCGATATATTACCTAAGATATTTAAACTTGTTCCAGATGCCATGAAACTACTGTGTTCCTGGGTGCAAATCGAACTATTAGGAGTTCCTTAAAAACTGAAGAAATGCAAACATTTTCATTTCCAAAAAAAATCTGAATTGCAAAAAATGTGGATGAAAGCAATACACCAAGATAATTATACCCGAGATTATACATCAATAACGAAAAATTCTGTGGTGTGTTGTAAACATTTTGAAGAAACCGAAATAATTAGATTTGAAACAAACAAGGATAAACGCGTAGTTCGAGAGTTCAAACTGAAACGTCCAACTCTTAAAAGTAGGTACCTCTTATTTTCGAAAATCAGCTCAAGTATTTGAATGGACCTGCCTTCCGAAAAAATCCCGAAGAAAGAAAAAGTTAGATTTTTCAAAAGACTTACTGAAACATAGGCCTATAACACTTTAGACTCTAGAAATATATTCATTTAAATCAATTATTTACTGTTCTTATTTACACAAATAGTTATATTATTCATTGAATTACTGTTTTTGGCCCTTTAGTACAATAAATTATGCATTTTTCGTGATTGATATTATTAAAATAAAAAATATATATTTATAAAAACAAACACCACCAGCACCACTTGGCGGTAAGATTGCGGTGTTGCCTTTTTAACTTCATGGCTTGTTAAATGTAGGAGGCTGTGTTCAAGGCGACGCGAGTCGCGAGAATCAGCGCCAATTCGTTTACTTGCCAAAGATGTTATATATTGAAAAATTTGCTTTCGGCGCCATTACTCTCATTCTGTTTACCTATAAAAAATTTAAGGGTGTGGGGGAGGGCAAGTAGTGTATACCCTATGTCAAATTTGTCATGCCCTATCACAAATTTGACTCTAGCTTCGGCCCTGTGCAGAAGGTATACACTATACCAAAGCCATTAAATTAGCATTAGCAATAAGTATAACCGATTAGTTTCGGAGTTTGACTAAATATTTTTTCCTGTGAATCCGTGAATCGGTGTTGCTGATATTATAAATACTATACAGTAGCTGATAAGCTGGATTAGCTAGGTAAGTGATTTAAGCCCGGTTTAGCCAGCTAATTGTCTATAATGAACTGTTCTACTTTCTTAAAGCTTCCAATAAGTCACAATAACAGGCCCTCAGGCCACTAACGCCAACTACATGGCGGCATTGGGGCAGGTGCTCCCATAAGCAACCTCTTATGTGTGCTTGGAGGTCTCGTGGGGAATGCGGAAGTACAAACGTATTTAATGGTCCTTCCGTTCCGTGTGGTAGTATCAGTATGATGTAATTTAAATCCACACAACGTTGTATATAAATTATACAAGTGGTATTAGGGCGAGAACATATTCTTGTGAGATTTTAATGTTCATAACTCATAGTGACTTAATAACAAAACAACCCATGCTGGAAATTTGCTGAAGCATTTGCCATTTCTCGCGGCCTAACCCAGTTGGTAGAAGAGGCCACACGTATTCCCATTCCGTTGCTCAACAGGCCAATTTACTCGATTTGTTCCTTACCACTAATCCCGTTCCTTAGAAAATCGATGTGTTTGCACCTTTAGGCAAATCACAAATTCTGCTCGAAGTTCGTTTGTTATATTCTCAGCCCCTGCTCCACTACCTCGTAGGGCGTGGCATTATGAAACTGTAGGCCTACCCGGAAACGGCTGCAGAAATGCGAGAACAACTAGTGACCGAAAATTTTATATCAAGGATTCAGAGATATGGAAGTAAAAAAACCAATAGGAGTTATTAAAGACTGAATAAACGTGTGGAACTTGAAAGGTGGGCCCGCTTTAATGAAATAAATGAAAGGACTGTTCGCACAGAAATCACAAACCAGTTAGAGCGAATTTCATTGGTTGAAAACAGTCAGAAACATTCAGAAAACTAGCTTCATGAAATTCACTCTGACTGGTTATAGTGATTTCTGTGCGAACAGACCTAAGGCCGCCGCCGCCGTTGGGAGCCAGTACTATAATTTTTTTCATTTTTGTATAGTAGGTATTTAACATTTTCTTTGTGAACAAATAAATATAAATCTCTATTATGAATTTATAAAAAGCTTTAAGTCGTTCTGCGGCGCGGCGCCGTTTTTGTTACGCTGAATACGCGAATATTCCTAGCTAAAAAAACTTCTTATTTTCAGATGTTATTTTTTTGAAACCTAAATAAACGGTTTTTGGCGTGACACTTGAAGAATTTTTCTTCCTCCGGCGGCGCCTGCAGTGGGCTTTGCTTTACCACCCCCCCCCCCCCCCCCAACCCCGCGAAAAAATGTACCTACGACGCTATTCTAGGCGGCCTCACTGAATAACCCCCTTGCCCTTCACCACCAAATCCATTTCTGGGGCGGGAATTCCTATTTTTGCCCAGGATGGCCGAAAGCGGGCCCTAGAGCGGGCCCTGCTTGAAAGGGGGAATTGAATGTTACCACTGCGGAAGAAGGGGAGATTTTAAACGTGCGTGTACAGTACAACTAAGATCTCGCCCTGCTTGTGATGACTGTCATCCTTCGATTGGGAACTGGCAACGGTACGATTTCCTGGAACAAACACTCTGGTGAACTACAGCCGCCATACAAATTTCCACGAAGTGCTACCTACGCCCATCCCCGAAGGCGCAGCCAAGGCGGCTGGCAGCATGGCAGTCAACAGGGAATAGGTAGGAATAGGTCCCTAAATCCCAATAGATCAAGTCCACTGCTAAATTGTGGGGTCAATATAAAACATAATACATGTAGGTATCCCAATTTATTATTTTTATAATGAATTCACATTTATTATTAAAAACTTGCTTCCATAAAAAAAAAAAATCTAAGCTAAAATGTTTCGACTTAGTCAAACATATTCAGTAGCCATCGCCTTATTATCATATGCACTCTGTTCTCCAGCAGGTACTGGCAGTTCAATAGGAGAAATGTAAAGCACATTATATAATTTTGTTCTTGCCTTGAATATGAGAAATAGAAATAGATGAAGAAAGATCATAAGAATCATCACGCCTGCGCAGACTCCTGCTGTTTTTCCTGGCTCGTCCCATTTTAATATAGGGTAGATGTAACGTGATCCAGTTCTAAAATAAAAATATTTTTATTGAAAAAAAAAAAATCAATCTCAAATGATATGACTTCACTGTGACATATTTGTTGTGCCATATATAAATACTTTCTTTAAGATTGGTGGATAGGTACTAGATAGGAACCTACCCACTTTATATTGAAAAGGGCGTTGATGTCAGAACTTCAGATTTCGAATCTGTCAGTTCTGTGCTCTGATTGGTTGGTTTTTTTAAAATTCGTAGGCAAACAGAAAAAAAAACTTACATCAAAATTTGCTCAAATTTGGCATAAATATTCTTCGATCGATTATCTACAATCCGAATATTTTAGTTTTCCTTGTTTTTTGCGTTTTTCTTAAAATGAAAAATAAATTGTGTATCATATGGTTGCCTTTTTTTTAGGGTTTAAGAAATAATGAGGTTAAGCAAAAAAAATCGGAAAACTACAATATTTGGACTGTAGATAATCGATTCTTTTCCGAATGGTATGTGGTAAAGTATCACTTACCGCACGCAAAAGTATGACAAAAAGTAGAGTTTACCGCACGGCACACGAGTAGGTAGGTAAAATTGTTAACAAATTTTTCATTTGCTGAGAAATGCATACAACTGATGTGCACTTTTTCATTAACCAATAATAATTTTAGTTTATTTCTAATCCCAGCTAAGATAACGGACCCCCAGTGACTTATATATTTTTCAAACTTATGAAATTATAGTGAGATATTTCAAAAAAATTAAAAGAATAGCTGCATTGGATTATCAAGAAAATAAATAGATTCGAAATAAGGATGTTTCATTATTACAGGTACAAATTTAAACGAGTAATCCCTTAATTTTAAATGTTTTTTTGAGCATTTTTGCGAAATGACCTATAAGTGAAGAAACTAAGGCAGAGATAATTGAATATTATGAAAGGGATAAAGGGAAACACTCGGTGGCTTCTGCTTATCACAGTTATTTTTCCAAAAAAATGCAAGAATTTGACGAAAGATATGATCTTATGGCTTCAGATCGTCGCTTTTTTCCTATGAAATTAGATTTTCAGAACATATTATGGAGACAGCACTTCAAAGAACATTACGGTGAAAAAGTTGGACAAAATATGTTTTCTTTTGGTTTGTCTTACTCTTGATTTAATACAGTTTTTATATGAATAGTATAACAATGAAACCTTACTCCTAGATTTAAAAAATTTGTATCTTCCCTTAGCATTTAAATGTAACCAATGTCTTCTAATCTAATATTCAATGGTTGCCAACTTATCTTATTTGTGTGACTATTATTTTTCTATTTTTACTTTAAATTAGATAACGTCAGTATATAAGCAGCGTTATCTAGAAACATTGAAATTAATGTATTCATTTTATTCAAGAAATAATTTTTTGGTTTATTGATATAGATTAGTTTTGATTAATAAAAATAATCATTATAATTTGTATATTAATTTGTATATAGGTTAGAAGAGAATTTCATTGAAAGTTAAGATGTATCTTCAGCTTTAGGAAAATGTACAATATTTCCTACTTGCGGCATTGCAAATACCACCATTGAATCGGATCCCAAAACCCAAAAGCCCCTAGGTAGGAAATATTGTACATTTTTCTTAAGCGCGCTTCGAAATCGGTTTCCATACATAACGACAACCCTGTACAAGGTAAGTATACTCACTTTGTGGTTCCTCCAGCAACATAAAATATGATTGTAAATATTGTATACGCGAAAGCCAATAGTAAGGGATAAATAAAATGTAGTATTTGAACTGGATGGCATACTATCCATAAATCGACGAACATCAAGATTGAATTTAGTCCATGTACTATAAAATTCATAGCCGAGAAAGTTGCTCCTTCAGCTAAAAATAGAAATACAAACTTCATCAATTATCATTGTGGGTGATTATAGGGTAAGTACCTATTTTAGTTCTATCAATAATTATATAATTATCTAATAATTAGAGATTTATTAGACATATAAAATTTCAATGCAATTTCCAAGTTTTGTGGGTGTATGAGTGACAGAGGCAGACCACGCGTTTTCATGGAAACAATGTTCTGATGTTTTGAGAATAAGGACACAGGGTATATACTTACGATGTCCCCTGAACAAACTTTGCCCGAACCGCTGGTTGGAACGTTACTTTCTCTTTTCTCTATACGTGTAAATGACTGCGACATTGAAGTCAACAGCAGGTACACCGAGATTATGAGCACGAGACTGCAGGAAAACCTTTATCAATGAATGGGGAGAGAGAGCTCAGCCCATACGAGGAAGGATCAAGTAGAAATCGCTAGACACCGGACGAAGAGTGCAATGGAGAAGCTTTACCCCCTACTAGGCAGAACAAGTCATGGTCACATATTTAGTTTGCTTTACCAAGTTATAAATGCACCCTGGCTCGGAAATCTCAAGAGAGAAGAATTAAGGACCTCTAGTAACTATCCATCCAAACGAGAAAATCACGAGCTATGATCCAGCCGAGCCAAAAAGGATTCAAAGATCGGTCCCCACAAGAAACCAACTCATATAGGAAGAAGCTCGGAGAAAGCATGAAAAAACCAGACTAGAAGCAATTATCCTTTTTCTATGTTAGAAGTAAGAAGTAATATAAACTATGGTCCTCATAAATCGAGCCAAAAATCCTAGATGCCTCTTCCTGTAGCTGAATAGTTTAGAACTTTCGCGCTCACTCATTCGGTGTGAAAACCGATAAGATCTATTGTGACCCTTCTTGTATCTACAGTACATCATTCAGTTTTTTCTCTCTTATCAGACTTCATAAACTCGATGATTTCTCGTGTGTGAAGTTTCTCGCCTCTGGTTTTGTTTCACCCATTGTTTCCTGACGCTGTCTCACGATTACGTTGCAGTCACATAGAATGTGTTTTGCTGTCTCTTCCTCTTTCGAACAGAACCTAAATGGGTCAGTCCAACTAGACTCATAAGTTTTTTTAGACGACAGTGTCCTGTTAGAAGACCGACCAGTATTCGGATTGTCCTTCTGTTTGGTTAAACAGTTCCGTCGTGATATTCCTCTCCGGTTTTCCTATAAATTTCTTTGGGTGTCTAAGTCCCGGCATTACTCTTGGGACCTTCCTTTTACCCACCATCTGGTGACCGCCTTAGCGATGGGCCTGGCAGCTCCGCAAGATGGTTCTGGCACAGTCATGGGCTGTATTGAGCCATATTTGGCTAGTTCATCAGCCTTTTTAGCCAGTGTCAACTTGTTGATTCGATCCCCTTGATGTCTTGGCATGGGCTTTTATTTCTTTAATGGCGCCTTGGCTGTCTGTGTAGATCGCTGTTGATTTCGTCAATAACACCAACTGCGTTTATAATAAATATGCTGGTGGACAAACTATGACGCGCATCGGATTTTGGATCAACTCTAGGAGAAGTGCGATGCAGTACACCCCGCGGGGCACGGCGGGCGGGGACGTTCTGCAACACTGCAACACCTTAATACAGATGCGTGAGTAAGTATCCTTGCCGTCGTCGATTCAAAGCTACAAAACCACGGCTCCGCAAGGAGGCCAGCCGCCTGACGCATAGGCACATATCGTCCGCACCAGGACATTTATAGTGCGTGAGCGTGTTCCAGCCTGTTGTGTTTACAACCTTGACCCCGAATTCACCGCTCTTTCGCATCTGTACGTAGGTAATCTGTGACACTAGCATCAAGTAGCTATGAGTGGAGGTTCATTAGGATCTAGTCCCGGGAACGGCGTGCGCGGAGGAGCTGCAACACTAGCATCAAGTAGCGATGAGTGGAGGTTCATTAGGGACCTAGTCCCAGAAACCCAATAGCGAAAGTTTAGCTCCCGTCAAGAGCACACACAACAGAGACATGGCCAACAGAACAAGGTGTCTATAATTGTATTTTATATGACAAGTGACTGAAGAGGTGTTTTTTATTATGTGTGCCATCTATAACACTAGCGCTGGAAGCGATTCTGAGACTCCTTAGATAAACACATCAGAATGGAATCTCTAATCTGGAGTCTATACAGGATAAAGTCGACGGAAAACTGTCAACCGTTGCAATGGAGAATAGGGTTCACAAAAATCCCGGAATTGATATCTGGGAACTTCATCCGATCACATCAAGCTAAAGTACTATTTCTAGAGCAACCCGACCTCAAAATCATTTCAACAAGGAGACAAATTGGCCTGTACGCTAGAGGACTATCGTAGTGACCCAACGGTTCAAAAACTGTATGACCGGATCAGGACCTGGAATAATAGGTGAGAAGCCCAGAAAAGCCAATGGGAAATCATGGCTACAATATGTTAGGAACTCATGCCATAATGGTCTGTGCTCAAGAAATTATCAGACAAAAATATCCACAACACCCAAGTATATGCACAAGCGGCCTTCGAAATACTCGCATCCCAGTACTTATGCCGGGCAAGGTGTGAAACTCTGCTGGATCCGGGGACAATTTAGGGTTGCCATAAATGAGCAAGCAGACGAGCTGGCGCGAGAGCGTTCGGTCTCGCCCCTTATGGGACCAAAACCATCAATGGCAATATCATAGCGAACCATAAGAGCGTATGTGGCTGTTTGGTCTGAAAGAAGTAGCGCTGGAACAAAGTTCGAACAAAAAAAAAAACAAAACTGATTATAAAGCAACCATCCAAGAAACTGGCTGAAGGTAACTAAAGCTGAATCGAAGAAATAACAGAACTGTTAAGAGAACTTAATACAGAACACTGCCCCCAGGTTCTGCAATGAACATGAGGCGGCAGCAGCTTGAGTTGGACATCAGGGATCCTTACCCCAAGCCAACTACTCCAGACTGCCTATATGTCTCTCCGGTGAACCCAGACTAGGGTTCTGGGATCGTTCGGGAGTTCCCTCATTGCTGACTGTCGCGAGGTGTTCCACAGTGTCCACTCTAGGCATTGGCCCCTAAGGGGTAAATCTAGGTTCCTGGCTGTGGTCCCGAAAATTGATATAGCTGACTGGTATTTTGACTGAACCCCGGTTTATTCATCTTCCTATAAATTTGCTGGTAACTGTCTACAAGACAAATATACGAAACTAGTATGCGATTGACCATAGATTGAAAAAAAAATACAATAGAATAACATTTTTCTATAAGTTATTGGTAAATTGGCAAAAGTTATTGGTTATTGGCTATCAACAAATGGATTGAAAATGTCTCTTTTGCACGCTGACAACTATTAACGATTGTGTTGGTTTGATGTTGATTTGAAAAAAGTAATTCTGGGAGAAATATGTACATAAAATGCGATCCTTGAGAATGTCATTAATAATAATTTACCCCGTTTAGACCTATTAGACCGTTTAGACCCCCGTTTAGTAAAAAAAAAGAAATATTGCCAAAATTCATTTTAAATTTGTTAAAACTCCAACAAAAATTTAGTTTAGAAATGAAATTTCATAGAGGCCAGACCGTAAGTTATCGTTATTTATTATAGTATTATAAAATTATGAATTAAAAGTATACGCTTTAGGAATTGGAGCTATATAATTTATATCTAGCACAGCTAAATATGAATTATAGATTTTGTCAAAGGCACTACAAATAAAGTCTTATTTAGGTACAACGACCTCGACTGAAAAGGAAGTTATGAAACTCAATGATGTTAGTTCGATAAAATGTTAATGTTTAATGGCATTAATAAATAATGAAGGAAATTTCGATTTCTGAATAATTATTACTTACCTCCATATATGAGCGTCCAATAAATAATACTGATTGTAAATGCTAAAGGTGTTGCGATAGTATTAAGCACCCAATATACAGAATACATTTTTAAGACCTTCTGCTCCAATTGACTTTTCAAAGAATATCGATGGCCTATCAGCGATCCTGATAACATTATAGTGCATAATAATGACTGCAACATGCATAGGGTAAAACCCCAATTTGTTAGATAGATTGGCCATCTAGGCCTGCCCTCTGTGGTTTCTTTAGTATACGTAAATATCCACGAAACAAAAAATATCAAAAATATGCTCCATCGGTATATGCTGTATTTGAAGTTTGGGGCTGATTTATCATGTTGCCACTGAAACAAGAAAAAATAGATCAAGGGTTAAACATCAGAGTGTGTGATCACCTATAAATTTCACTATTTGGAGAAAGGAAAACCAAATTTTGCAAAAAAGGTTTTAATTTTCTTCTTTTCCACTTTAACTGTTATGGAAAAAAAGCAAACTATGCCCAGGAGCAAAAAGCTCCTTGCAATTCAAGATAAGGATTATAGATATGTATAGATATAATTACAGAAGTTGAAAAAATTATATTCCCTTCAAACCGGATAGGAGCTTGTAATTTTGATTACCTAATGACACCTACTTTGCGTTAATATCTGGGGACTATTTTTCCGTTTTTTGATTAGTAGGTACCTATTTCTTGAGTGCCATTTCAGCTCGTTTATTAAAAGGATGTGTTTTAGAAAAAAGCTTCAAATTGCTTTTTTCCGCTTTTGAAAGATCATTTTGTGATAGCTTTTTGGTGATTTTTGCAGGAATTATACAGGGGTTAGCAAAAAACCAAACTTGTGCTAAAAATGGTGTGGGAATTGCGCAACTTGGTATTTCGGTGACTTCGGAGTAATGTGTTGGGATGAATATTTATGTTTTCTTTTCAGATGTGTTAGTGTTGAATATTTTGCTGATGGCTAGTAACGAGTTTTATTTCAAAATGATGACGATAATTTCCATACTCTGTTCCTACTTATGCTTTTACTTTGAATTTTTTTTTAATCATGATCATGTAGCCATGTAGCCGGTTGACCATTACTGATGGATCTAGGTTTCCTCTCAGAGGTTTGTGCGAATATTGTGTTTGAGAATGCTCTTGATTTCTTACAAAGATGTTAAAGTGATAGCTATAATCCTACTTATTTTATTTCATTATTATTATAATTTTTTCCGATTTCAACCGACCAAGGTCAGACTATTTAATTTTTTCAAAGGAATAGTTTAGAACAGGTATTGCATATGTGTTGATTGTTTCAAATGTTCTTTGATTTGAGTTTCATAATATGTGTTTTCTCGTATTATTACATAATTTTTTTTTTCCTCAGCTTTTCCGTTTTTTTATGGCCTGCAAATTGAAGCGGGACTTACGAAATCAACAGTTTAATCGCGATTGAGTCATCATTATAGGCAATCACTCGATACCGAGTATAATTATTCTATTCTATCCTCAATTTCGTCGATTGAGCGTTTTCTGATGGCTTTATAAACTAATTCTGAAGCCGCACACTCTGCCACAGTCTTAGCACACCCAGCCTCTAACAGTATTGTCTCTTCCTCTGTTCTCTTATACCATGCACCAGAGCCCTACTGTGGCTTAATGAAAAGCCACATTATGGAAGAACTCAATAAATGAGAAAGACCAACTGTCATCATATTGGAGGCACACACCGGGACTCAGACAGTCTAAAAGGTTTATTACCCTTTCAGCAAAAAGAGCTGAACAGCTCCTAAACATGAGCAGACCAGACATCAGATTGGTGGTGGGACTGCTCACAGGACACTGCCCATAGTAAAATACCATTTAAGGTTAATGGGCAGAGCGGAAGACGATCTCTGCAGATTCTGCTCAGACGCAATAGAGACCGCAGAGCACCTGCTCTGCGAATATCCAGCCCAATTTTGCAAAAGGCTCAAATTCCTCGAGGGGGCAACACTGTCATCAGAAGAAGTGAGCCAACTGACACCCAGGAAAATAGCTTCCTTCGGCAGAAGTCTACGCTTCATGGAGACAAATTAAGATGTAGAGTCACGTACAAAATATCTGCAAAGGTAGGGTAGAAATCAAACGAGAAGAAGCCACACGCGTTATCGTTTGTCTCACTTTAAATGGGAGGGACCCAGAGAAAAGGAAATCTGCTTTCTTTGTTAGCGCTGACGACAATGGCTTCTTCTCGTTTGATTTTTACTCTAGCAGTGCTGACCGGCTGAAAAGCCGTAACGACTCCCCCGCAATCTACAAATCCTCTATTCTCTTGCTCCTTCCTTTGGTGTCTCTTTTCGGTCTCGTGTCTGCGTCGCTGTTCTTCAACTGTTTGTGGTCCGTCGTGGACTACTCGACGCCATGAGGGCCTATCATTTGCCGTCGTCTCTCAGTTGTTGGTATTGATGCGGCACTTTGCCATATTTTTCTTAAGAACATCTTTGTAGCGATTTTGTTGGTCTTCTTGATTTCATTTTCCCTCTCTCAGTTGACTGTTTTTTTTTTTTTTTTTTTTTTTTTTTTTTTTTTACGGCCATGCGCACTCGCAAGGAAATGTCCTATCACGCTCGAGAAGCGGCAAGTGCGCGGACATGTCGGTGTATGTTGGTCTTGAAACGGTTCAGGTTGTAACCTGCAGGGAAAACCGTCGCAGGGAGTTTATTCCACAGCGATGCTGTTCTCCAGAGATATGAATTCTGATATAATGAGGTTCTTGGTGCCTCTAGTTTGACAGTAAATTCATGGTTACCGTCTGTTTGACGGGTTCGCCTGGTAGGTGCTACTCTCGGTGGAATCATACGTGCCAACTCTTCAGAGCATTTTCCGCGATAGTACCTGTAGAAGAGAGATAAATCGCCCACAGATCTGCGATGTTCGAGACCATCCAAGTTACGAGTAAGTGCGGGGTCATTGATCAGCTTGATAGCTCGTTTTTGCACGGTATTCAAAAGCATTAAGGTATGTTTGGGTGCTGCACTCCATATATGTGAGCAGTACTCCATAGTTGGTCGAATCTGGGCTTTGTAGAGTGTCAGCAATTGGCTTGGTGTGTACAGATGTCTTGTACGAAATAGCACCCCCAGCTTTTGGGAGGCCCTTTTAGCAATATCTGCCACGTGACTGTGCCAAGACATGTTGGTCCCTGCAGTAACCCCCAAGATGTTCAACTGACTCTGTAATGTGACAGCACTTCCAGATAGCACGATGTTTGGCTCACCGGTGCTGGTCTTTTTTGAAAACAGAGCTGCTTGGGTTTTCTGCGCATTGAACTGTACAAGGTTTTTGTTACCCCAGTCCTCTATTTTCTCCAGGTCGTTATTTATCTGCGATATTTGAGTTAGTCTAAGATGATGGAATTCACGTGCGGAAAGACTTGTGGGTGGTATGAGTGAGGAGACTACATTGCCATCGTCTGCAAAGCAATAAAGTGGATTTACTGTTTTATCTATGAGGTCATTTATGTAAATCAGGAAAAGAGTTGGCGAAAGGATTGCTCCCTGTGGCACACCAGCATTTATTTGGTAAGCGTTGGAGTTCTGGCCATCCAGTGCAACATAAATGGATCTGTCCTTTAGGTAACTTTCAAACCAAGTGCAAAGTTTCGGCGATAATCCCATTGCTTTGAGCTTGTTGAGCAGATTTTCATGCCAAACTTTGTCGAATGCTTTAGATATATCTAAGGCAATTGTTCTTGTTTCACCCCGCAACTCAATCGCTTTTTGCCATAAGTGAGTGACGTATGTAAGTAAATCGCCAGTTGACCTATATTTTCGAAATCCGTATTGATAATTTTGTACTTTTCCAAGTACTTGGTTAGGTGATTGTTCACAACTCTTTCCATTACTTTTGATATCACCGGAAGTAGAGCAATTGGTCTATAGTTTAACGGATCTGTCTTTTTTCCTTTCTTTGGAATGGCTTGTACTGCGGCAGACTTCCATGATGATGGATATACTCCTTGCCTGTAAGACAAATTGAATAATTTTGCGAAAGTTGGGGTGAGTTCGTTGGCGCGTAGAGAATCTGTCGTAGAAGACATGTTTCGGCTTGGAGTGGTCATTTATAGTTATAAATGGGGATTGGGAATCAGTGTGTGGGGTGGGTTGGTGCAGGATCTACATCTTGTTAAAGTTGACCTCTAAGCCGATTCTCTTGTATGCCTGGTAGAATGCATTGATAATTACCTGAAGATCTTCCTCTGAATTTTATAGGTTCTGCGATTGAGTGGGTACATTCCGATTAATGGCACAGGTGGTACGGATAGCCGATTTTTGCATTAGGGCTACCATTCGCCCGGGATTTTCGACTCCTACTTTTTCTAGGTTTGAAGCAAGTCTGTCGACCAGTCCGTTGCAGGTAAGCATCACAGGGGTCACATATGCTTGTTAGGATTGTAGGGTGCTTCAATTTCCTGCCTCAGGTTTTGATATTTCGTCATCTTTCCGCTTCTAGCATTGCGTATATTTTTATCAGGAGGCATGGTTGTCTATGATATATTCCTTTTTTGTTATTTTGTAGGAAATTAGCATATCATGTCTGTTGTGATCTACCTGTCTGTCAGTAACAATACGTGTACCTCAATTAACTTTAACATAATCATTTTTCAATATTTTCTCGGCATGTTTCTTCCTCTCTACCAGCTTCTCTTTTTTTACATATGTCCTGATGAAGTATACCTGCCACTCTGTTATGTCGCTCCAAGTATTGCCGTGGAACAATACATGTGCAACCTGACGAGATATGTTGAATAGACTCAGACGCAGTATGACACATTCTGCACCTATCATCAGGTTTTTGTTTTGCTATAAACTTAAGGAAGTAAATTTTCAGTTAGAATCTCCTAAACCTGTATGGCTTCGACAAACGTCCTTCCATCTCTGACCTCACACCCGTCTGTAAGGTACTGCTCTGACAACAGTTGATCGGTTTCCGGGTAAAACAAATTTGATCGGTACCGTCCATGCCGGTCCTTTGCTTTCGACTCTTCTAGAATTTCCTGTTCCGGGTTTGCTAGTCAGCTTGGTTAAGAGAGATGCCCTTATCGGTGTTACTTATAGGATACTGCGAAGTGCACAAGACCTCTTAAGCCTTTCTCTCTGGGTAAGTGGAGCCTTGTAGTTGAGGCGTATATAGATGGTGCATTTGGTTATTGATTACCTGATTTTTCTATCTAGAGCGTCTAGATCTGTTTGTGTGCTTTTAAGGACCCCAAACTTATTGGGCGGTACCCACATGTTGATAGCACCTATTTTGTTTTTAGAGTATCGGTTTGTAGTATTGCATGCTGTCTGCTCAGAAATGCATCCTCGACACATTCTCTCATGACTGTATCGTCAAATCGTAGGGATTTTTGGATTCCCAGAATTTGTATGTGGTTCCTATTATCAGTGGAGAGAATTTTGTTTTATCCAGAAGTGTAAGGTCCTGAGATTCTTGAATCGCACTCTTCTTGCAGTGGATCAAGGCACATTTGTCAATTATAAACACCATGTGTAGGGCTTTACTGAAGACGGATACAAGCTCGCGTTCGCTTTTTAACAGTTCTGGGCCCCTTTTAGGTCGTCCATGTATAAAGGAAGATGACAAATTTTTGTAGAGGATATCCCTTTTGAAGGTTTGCTTACGGCTTTTTCAAAGACAGTTATTGAAATTTTATACACAACGAAAGGTTTAAGGATCGTTAAAACCTGTTGTAAAGAATATCGGTATTTTTTTTTTGGTCACGCATTGCTTGCTTGGGTGAACTGGTTGGCCAAAGTGGTACGAGTGCTTGTAAGGTACTTCCACCAATAAGCATGTTTTTCATCAATTCCTGGAGCTTTCCAATTCCTGAGCATTTCTACAATCTCCCTAATGAGAGTTGGCGTTATATCAATGAGGTCCATTTCTGGTATCTAATTTACCCGTTATCGTTCTTCGTTTATCCTTTATGCTTTTTGGTTTTCCCTATGTGTCGTTTCAGAATTCCCGATTCATTTTTTTGCTATTGGCTGGTATTTCCTAGTTAACGGACTAGACTGCCAAGTAAGCTAGGAGTAATACCCGTTGCTGACATTATAATTGGTATGAAATGCATTTTTTTTTGTTTCCATATTCATTATTTTCCTGACGCCAGTTGTTGATACTTCTCTTTCTTCACTGTATACTTTCTTGATAGTACCTATTAGAATCTGATAGTATAGTTATGAGATCAGTGATTTTCTCTATGTTGTATGGAATGTTATATTATCTGGTCTGTTGTGCATTACAGTTTTGTGTGTTTGAATCGTTCGTTAGATCCCAGTGAAGCTAATATGTCTTATTTTAAATTACAGTTGTTGGTAATGATTATGTATTCTATGGCTTGGTGATCAATTATTGATATTTTCTGCATTTATCATTTACGATGGTGCTTTTAAAATATATTTGTGTATAAATTTGTATGTTTGCCGTGTAGGGATTTTGAGGTTTTATTTTCAGTTTTAATTCAGAGGGATTTGTTGGAATCTCAATTGCAGGTTCTTTGGATGATAGGTTGAGCGGAGTGAAGTATTTGCCGACTTGTAACACTGCTTTATGTTCTTTTCTTTAAATTGAAATTATGTTTTAGAAAACATTATATTATAGTGTATTTACCTAATAGTTTGTTGTTGAAGTTATTGTAGATCTATTAGTCCTTTGCCTCGATCCTTCTTTTTCACTCATGCTTATAGTCCAGGAGGCAGTGAAATTTTTCAGCACTTATTTTCCCAGTTGGTGTCTATTAAATAGTTTGTTCTCCTGGTGATACAAAGCAAGTATTTTTGAGTCTGGCTAAAATTTTCGGATGGGTTCACAAGATCGATGAAAAATACAAGTAGGCTTATTTTCCGAGATATAAATATTTCACATTTACTACAATAGAACATAAAGTACATGAAAATAGCAATTCGGCTTATCTCAGATAGTGAAAGTGAGTCTGGCTGAAATTTTTAGGATCTTCAATTTTTCACTTGCCAGACATATTATCCATACTCACAGATTAGCCGGACTATTTTTTTAAGTAACGTCAGTATACTTCTCATTAGTAGACCTATTTTTATCACTGAGAAAAAAAAGAACCGTGTATTGGTAAGCTTTAACGCATTTTGCGCCTCAACCCATCGGAAAACCCCCCCTAAAAATATATGTATTTTGCTTAGAATTACTAACCCTACAATTCTATCCATCTTTTCTGACTGGGAAAATAAGTACCGAAAATCGTCACTGCCTCCTAGACTATTAGCCGTTGTTTATACATGGATTTTTGGTAAAGCTTTCTAGTTTTTGTTAGTTCTTTTCTTGTTAAAATATTTATATTTTCCAGGTCTGAATTTGACCTCCTAACTTTATCAAATGAATTGCTGAGTAGGTACAGGAACTGCATGAGTAATGTTTCCTTAAAAGGAGTTTTTGGAAATAAGCTTCGATTCTAAGAGTTGGGATAATCTATAATTTTGTTGTTTTAGGTTTTGTTTAATTTCTGTGTAGTCTAATTTAGGGTTTCGGATAAAGCCTAAGTATTTGTAGGTTTCGTCTTTCTCCATTTGTCGTATTTCATTCTTCAGGGGTGTTCGATATGGGATTAAGACACATGCAAACCATAATGCAAGTGCAATTAGGACATCTCTTTGATATATTCTCCTTTTGATAGGAATAAAGTCTGTTTCAGTGTTGCCGTTTCTCCATTATTGCTCCAGGAAGGAAGTTTCGAATTACCGGGCGTGTCATAAATTTGTAGTATTTCTATTAGCCAATCGTGTATAATCATATCGAAGACTTTTTTATAGTTCTAGATATCGTATTTGCAGGTTTCATTGTCGTTTGTCCCAGTGGCGTAGATACGGGGGGGGGGGGGGGGGTCCAGGGGGTCTGGACCCCCCCAGAGCCTCAGAGAGAGAAAAAAAAAATAATTAAAAATTGTAACAAAGTTTTTTTTGATCTCCTCGTTTCAATATCGAAATCTAAATCTTGATATCGATGTTTTCTGAACATTGATGTATCATGCTCAACACTGTCACTAGGTCTGTTTCTGCAGAAATCCCAAACCAGTCACAGTGAATTTCATTGGTTGAACTAGTTTTCTGACTGTTTCTGACTGTTTTCAACCGATAAAATTCGCTCTAACTGGTTTGTGATTTCTGCAGACACAGGCCTAATATTTGCGTTTCCGATTGGTAAATTTAGTGCAAAAAATAGGTATATATTTCTATCTGTGTCTCTCAGTGGGGGTTTGAAAAAGATGCAAATACACGCGTGTATGATTGCGCGATTATGAAGCGAACCGATTGACATGATTCATCTCACACATACCTGGAATGGTCGCGCCAATCCATAAAATTGTGGCAATTGATATGGAGATTGTGGGGGATTCCCATCGTTAGATCTAGTGCGGAACTAGTGCAACTTTTGTTGTTTCTGTCTTTCTCTTCTACAGGTCGATTGAAAGGATGCAAATACACTCAGTGCGCATCAAATCTACCAATCGGACACGCCATTACTCTCGGTTGGTCAAATTGCCGCCATTTTGTTTACCCGTCCTGTCACAAATGTTTGCCGTGGCTATAGTGCATCTTTGGCGAATTTGCCCGTACCGCTGGACCTGGACCCCCCCAGGATGAAAAGCTATCTACTCCACTGGTGTGTCCAGCTTGTTTCATTATGATGTTGTGTATGATTATTTGTCCCTTACATCGCTGGCTGCTCTTTATACTTCTTTCTTCTTCTTCTGTTCCTATATTGTTTTCTTGTGAGTGCTTGTCGATTTTATTGCAAATTATGCCTGTTATAATTTCGTAGATCGTTGGTAGGCATGTAACGGGTCTATAGTTCGCCGGATTTTGAGTATCTTCACTTTTGAGTTTGATGAAAGTTCTTCCTTTCTGCTTGATTAAATTGATTACGAAGTGTGGATTTTGTATTATTTTATTTATTTGTGATTTGTGGTATTTGTGTATTGATGTGAATTATTTGTAGTAGCTCCAAGGCATTGCCAGTTATATGTATTTTTTATCGCTGAGGTTATATCTTTATCGCAGAATAGATAGTCTAACTGTTCTGGTAAGTCTATTTTTCACGATCACAACACTTTTCTTTCGAAAAAATAAACGTTATGTGGGATATGCAATAGAAAAAAAGATACCTTATAAAGTCTTACCTGGGAAACAATAAATGTTGTGGGGTTTTGATGTAATGCCTTGAATTGTTGTAGACTAAGATGTTTTTTCCAGAATAGACCCAACATAATTCAACGTCCTTATTTTATCGCAAGATCATGGAATCCTGTAAAAAATGTAAATAAGTTTTAGTCACCAATAATTTTTTTTTTAACTAAAATAACTTGACACCGAATTAAGTAATATTCTATTTCATCGCATTCACAACATTAACAAACAAAATTGTTCTGTCGTCTTTTTTATCAAAGGACCTTGGCGATCACCTATTAAACAATGGTTAGGAAACCTTAAGGAAATACACTAAAAGACAAGGACTCGAAAAAACGTGACAAAGAAAGTTTGACTACAGCCCGAAAACCGCTGGTGAAAATATTCGCACACGTAGCCAGGCCGGATAACCTCGAAAAGCAAACTTTGCCTACACTCATTTGCGTTACATAGGTACTTCAAATATATCGTATGAATAAATTAATAAATATGGACCAGCTTATAAATACTTTAGATTTGTTTAAGGGAAATTCTGAATATATATTTGGTGCAAAAGAGATAAACATAGTTGTTGTAAATAAACCAGATAGTTTTTGGATTTTCCATTGCAATATAAGAAGTATAATACGAATTATCTTCATCTTAATCTAAAAAGATGGAAAAGGAATGAGCACAAGATAAATAAAGTTTGTAAACTGGATGATAATAAGTTTAAAATTTTTCTAGCAAATCAAAATTGTGACGAAAAACACAGGAACTTGGATTAAAACTTTGCTGTCGAGACTTTAATGAAAAAAATTAGTGATGGTATAACAAAATATAAAAAAGGCACCCCTGAATATAAATAAACTTATACAAAGAACCAAGGCCGAATATTACCAGAACGAGATAGGTTAATCAACAGATATTCTGCTTTTTCAGAGCCATCTGATCCTCAGGAAATTCACCAATAAATCTTCAACCTTAAACTGTGAAAATCTCCTGACTCCAGGTTTAGATGGTATTAGTGCACATCATCTACAATTAGCTTTACCATATATAAAGCATAGATTAGCAAACTTAGCAAATAGAATTATAGAAGGTGCACCAGCATATTAGGCAAGTCCGTGCTCGCTTAATTTTCAAGCAAAAAATTCGAACAAAAAAGCATTGGGGAGTGCATTTTATTAGCAACAATGACGTGTTTGAATAACTAAAATCGGATTATGCATTTGGCCGCTGCTGCAACAAATGCGCGCAAACAGGCAAAACGATTCAGTGACCTTGAATAAAAACATGGTACTATTCAAGACGCTGCGAAAAAATAACTATAGAAGATAAAGGGGTGCTGTCGCGGAGTGTTTTATAGCAAAAAACTTCAGCTACAACAATCATTTGAAACTTTTTGCTATTGGACCATCCCTTTGAGCAGCGTTCTCCATAAACTGCAAATTACCCCTAAAAACCACCCCTAACTAAAAACCCTATGGAAGTACAAGGTCGCAAACTTAATATGTTATTTATTTAGCATATTAAAATGGACTGATCCCCCCAAAAAAATGTTAACTTCTAATTACGTTGAGGTAAACCCTCTTTTCGGATCCCCGTTTCTTGGACTATAAGAGAAACAGGTGAAGTACCTATCTGGGAATAGAAGTCGATAAACACCTGACATGAGATAAACACATCAATACATACTTATTAAAAAACTACGCTCAACTTTTTACAAATTTAAATTATCATTAGAAAGTTTGGAAACTGTCTGTCATTCTCTTGTCGGTTCTATTCTAAAATACGGAAACTGCTTGGGGGATAGCGTATAAAATATTTATGAACAGATTAATGGTTATACAAAAAATGCTTGTAAAAAATATGTACAGCAAAACAAGAACTCATCCTAGCGACTTACTAGGTATATCAAGAATGTCAGTTAATGGACATAAATCAAATATTTTGCTTTAAAATACTGTGTCTACAGCATAAATATGTATAAGGAAAATCTACACAAAATAGAACATGAACATGACACCAGATACAAAAAAGACAAACAAACAAAAACACAAAAGGCAAATAACATAACTTGACAACGATCATTTAACTTTTTAGCACCACGCATGTACGTCAGTCATTTCCGAGGCTATCCCAAACGAAAAAAGTTTACTAGCCTTGAGAAAAAACCTGAGAATATGGATTATTTCTGAACCTAGACAAAAGACCATGGTTCTGAGGCCCTACATTTGAATTTAAAAAAAATAATAATAATTACGCCTTCACAACATTTTTATGTTTTATTTTATTTCTGCTTATCACTTTTACTACAATGGTAGTAGACACAATATAAGAGCCCATGCGACCTGCCTCACTTAACAATAATGGGAAGTGTAATTTAATAAATACCTAGTTGAATTAATATTTGAAAAAAAAAAATATGATCTCTTGTACTTTCCAAATTACAAAAAATCTACCTAGGCTTAATTATTTGAGAAGATATGTACCTACCTATATTAAGTTAAGACTGAATAAAAAATAAAAAATTAGGATCTTTTGTACTTTCCAAATTACAAAAAATCTACCTAAGCTTAATTATTTGAGAAGATATGTATATTAAGACTGAATTTTGACAATCTTCTAGTTTATATTATTGTTGATGTAAGAATTATTTTTCTTGTTTTTCTTCTCTTTGAAATGTCTCCTGCATTCCGGGCGACTGACTTTCTCTCTTGAAATATACCATACATTATTATATTATAAATCCGGTCCAAACTCTCGAAAACGTAGAAGCCCATGCACCAATGTCACATTATTTTACAGTTTTGTTTCAACCCCTCGACCCTCGTCCATAGCCCAGTTTCTACTACCGATTCAGGCACAAATTATAGGAGACATTTAGGACCTTACTGGAATTCGTCTAAGAAACCATTTGTCGAATCCAATTCGAACTCATCGAGGAACAAACAAAAATATCTACGTTTCGATTATATTATCTTTCAAATTTTTTTTTGACTTTCAAAAATCTTCATTTTCCTAGGAGAGGACCCCGCGATATTTAAATGAAAATTGGTTACTCAGCGTGATTTTTGAATGAAATTTAAATATGTTATTGGGGATGCCGTAAGCAAATTTTTTTACAATGGGCACAACCTTGAAAAATCTAAACTAAGCAAAAATGCACCCTCTTATTAACTTGACAGGTGAGGCGGTGTCAGCTGTCAAATATTGGAATCTAATATTCAAAAGCAGAGTAACTATGGCAGATTTTGATGAAGTTAATATCGATTTCTACGAAGTCGACCAAGGTAGATTGGAAAATGTCAACCATTTTGACGTTTGTCAAAACCCTGCCAAACGGCAGCACTCATATTTTCCAGTCTCCAATATTTCACGATGACATTTTTCACTTATATAATTTCTTCAAAAATTGAAAAAAAAAAAAATACAGAACTGTCAAAACCTGTCACTTGTTTCAGTAGAAAAAAGATTCCCATCTGGTTATTTTTCATTTTCGTTTTAAGGTAGTTTATTGGTGATAAAACATTGAACAAAGCTCATAGACATCAAATTTTGACCGCTGTCGAAATCTGAAACCTGCTTATAAAGTTTTTTCATGCTTTATCATAAAAAAGCATAACTTAAATTGTAACAGAACTAGATTTGAGTATTTTTCAATCAAAGCTATTGTCAGATTCTGACAGCTGTCGAAATTTGATGTCTCTGAGCTTTGTTTAATGTTTTATTGCCAATGAACTTTAAACCTTTAAACGAAAAAGAACCAAATTGGAATCTTTTTTTCTAACAAATGACAGGTTTTGACAGTTCTGTACTTTTTTTAATTTTTGAACTCAGAAGTTACATAGGTTGAAAGTCGAAATATTGAAAACTGAAAAATATGAGTGCTGCCAAGGCTGCTGCCGTTTGGTAGGGTTTGGACAGATGTCAAAATGATTGACATTTTTCGATTTACCTTGGTCGACTTCATAGAAATCGATATTTACTTAATCAAAATCTGCCATAGTTACTCCGCTTTTAGATATTAGATTCCAATATTTGACAGCTGACACCGCCTTACTTGTCATACATACAAGGTTGCGCCCATGTTGAAAACTGTTGCTTACGTCATCCTCATTAAAATATTCAAATTTCATCCAAATATCACGGGTAGCCAATTTCCATTCAGATATTGCGGGGTCCTTTGCCGGTCGATGGCTTCGAAGTATTAGGATATTAACGACCACCTTAACACGTAAAGCATTCCATCTTCTGCTGATAGCACTGGTCCTAAATTTTTGGCAAACAAGCTCCTGCTATATTCGCGAACATTAAAAGTATAACCAAGAAACAGTAGGCGGACCATATTATTATACTGAACTACATAAATTAAAAAGCAAATTAACCTTTAAGTTAGATTTAGGCCCGGTTTATTCATCTTCAGATAAACTTACTGCTAACTGTCTACAAGATAAATTCACCAATCTATAATCACATTGGTCGGTGGACAACTGGCCTACCAATTCTAGATTGCGTTTTCATCCGCCAGATTGCATTTATCAGAAGGTGAATAATAGTAGATATTGTAATTATTATTTTAATCGGGAAGATAAAGAATTAAATAACAATAAGTGTACTTATCTCTATACGAATTATTAGTACAACACTTGTAAAAACTAGTTAATCTGAAGTATAGGAAGTTACCCGCAAAAAATATTAAATTGGTTAGTGGAGAGTTATTGAAGCTTTTGATTAGGGTTGTGTAGTATTAATGCGCATGCTTTATTTTATAAGATAATATTGAGCCTCTCAAATTTTGCCCTCCGTTTCCGTTAGAGTTAATATTTCTTACCGGCTTGCCTATTTTGATTTCCTCTATTTATAGAGTTTTCGGTCGACTGTACTCTACACTAGCTTTTAACTCGTCGCTCCTACTGCACACGACTCAAAAAAACACTTGTCAAAAATATGCATTTAGTATAAAGCTGACCAACCTAGTTCGTCAATCAGACCAAACAAGTTTCACCATTCAATCGAATCATAAATATTGTGTTGCACCAGCGTCAGCAGTTTTACTAGTCGGAGAAGCTATCAGATGTTTTGTTATCACCTCAAGTAAAAGTAACAGATACTATTACTTTTAATCCGATATTA